CCTTCATTCGGCCTGCTATGACTGATTCAAACATCTGATCCAACCAAAGAAAAATCTTCTTCATTTTTGACTCGATTCCTTGAAGATCAAATGGAGCCAAGACTGGGAAAAAATCAGATATATTGGGCGTTGAGATCAATTCGACAACCTCCTTTACTAACCGTCTAAACTCGGGCCCTATGCTGTTCCTTTCCTCCCCAAGCAACGGAGCACCCCATACCATGCTCATCGTTAATTTCAGCACCATAATAAACATTTGCTCGCTGATATCAATGGGGGAACCGGCCTTGCTATGCACATCCTTCACCATTTCTCGTACTCCCTGTTGGCGAAGTGCATAGCAGGCATCAAGGCTCGCATTGCTCATCATTTGATGAGCAAAAATCTTTCGCATCTTCCTCCATTGCGGGCCATTAGGGCTGAAAATAATATCAATCCCACCATAAAATAGAATCTTCGAAGCTGCTAAAACCTCATGGTTAGCAAAGATTGCATCATCGTCTTTTAGGATTATTTTGGCGAGCGAAGGGGAGCTTATGGCAATACAAATCTTTCTGCCCAGTTGGAGCCTCATGATGGGACCATAAGTGTTAGACAATTTAGTAAGGTAGTGATTTAAATCAGGTTGAAGAAAGGGAAGGTTTCCTAATAGAGGCAGGCCTGGCGGACCTGGTGGCAACGGCAGCTTTCTTGTTGATTTCTTGGTCATCAGCAATGCATAATACAAGGCCAGAACCACCGCGAAACCAGCCCACCACCATGACTGGAACTCATCTATAAGGCTATCATAGAACTTAGACATTTCGAAGAGGAAAGAGGACGAATATTGATGGTAGGACGTTCGTTCAAAATCTCTAGACGCACATTTTATAGAAAATTCATAAAACTTTTCGCTAAAAAAAAAAAAAAAATTCCATAAGACTATGGGGTTAATGCCACTTTTACTTATAAAAGTTGAGCAATGCTAGGGGCACTTGCTTCTTGCACTCTCCGGCCAACACTTCCCTTTTCATTGGGCCACGTAAGCTTTTTTCAGCTTTGCAGTGCCACCACTGACCGGGCAAAATAACGTGGCCCAATAAAAGTGAAAGTGTTGGACGGAGAGTGCAGGAAGCGAGTGCCTTTAGCACTCCTCATAAAAGTTTATTTTAAACCATATATTCTCAACTTACGTCATGTGCTCCTTCTACTATTTAAAAATACCTCAATGTAGTCCCTCCATATATTTTAGGGGTAACACCTGTTTGTTGACCATTAAAATGTAGACAGTTAAACGTTTGGAACAATTTTTAATTATTTTTTTCCACCGGTGCATCATTGAACCCATCTATGCCACCTTTTTTTTAAGCATATTTATGATTAATTAATTTA